ATGCAGATAAACATACACACATAACCAACCACACAGACACACACACACACACTAATCACTCAAACCAGACTTCACTCTGAATCTGATCGATTTATAGAAAACAGTGAAACCTTAAACTTTAAAGAGCTCTGGTCTGTTTGATGCTGCTGTGTTGAGGTTTGAAGAACACACACACACACACTGTCACACACACACACACACACACACACTGTGTTACATCCAGGCCCTTAGCAACTCCAGCGGCGGGGGAAGGCATGCGTTTCCTGGGTCCAGTGGCCTCACATTTCCTCTCCGTCGTCTGGAGGACAGAAGGCCAGAGCCCCGCTGAGCACACACACACACACACACACACACACACACACTCCGTTGACACCCCCCAGGCTTTGTCCGTGGGCTGTCGGCCGTAGTCTCGTGCCCAGCCTCCCTACTCTCTCTCTGGGTCGGGGCAGGACATTCCGTGATGCTAGCCGTCGCCGCCTACCACACCCCCGAACACACACACACACACACACACCCGAACACACACACACACACACCCCCGAACACACACACACACACACACACACTGGTCTCCAGGAAGAGAGTTAATGAGATTCTGTCGGGTTCCCACACCGTCCCCTCTTTCAAAGACTTTGTCTTCCTCGTCCTGTTTTCCCACACTCACTCCTGTGACTCTGGCAGCAGAAGAACGTTGTTGGGACGAGCATTTTATAATTCAGTGTTAAATCTAAATATTATATTTATTAAAGATTTATTTACAAGTTTTTCTCCAAAAACCTTTTTGTTGTTCCAGCTGAAGAAGCTGAAAACATTTAGAAAACACACAATTTAAATCAGTTTAAAGTCACGATGTAACGCAGGAAGGTTCGTACGTGAAGAAGTTTTAATTCTGTTTAATTTCCTGTCACAGACACACACACTAGAGTCATTTCATGGTGGAAGTATCAGCCACTCCATTTCCTGCAGCCTCGGCCCCCTGGAGGAGGTGTTATTTAGTTAAGAAGGGGGGGGGGACAGCTCAATCCCCCCTCCCCCCTCACTAATCCCAGCAGCCTGAATGAGCTGCTGTTTACATGGAGGGATTTGTGCAGATTAGACGGATCACATCTGTGGATTAAACAGATCAGCAGTTCATGACACTCGATCGGAGAACAATACCCCCCCCCCCCCCCACTGTGTCTTATTTTACAGCTCGATTTAGAGACGATCCACAGAAACACATCATCATTGTGTTTATTCTGCTGTTGAGTTCAAAAGTATCAGCATCATGTACTCAAAGTATTACAAGTACTCGCTCTCCTTTCACACAAGTACTACTGTAGAATACTGTAATACCACTGATAAATACATGTACGAGCACTTTAGATACTATTAGTAGTGAGGTACTGTGAAGTCATCTTATTTTGTAGGAGCACTAGTGGACTGAGTCTAGTCCTTGTTCTTGACTCAGTGGGACAGGAAGTCTTATTTTGTAGGAGCACCAGTGGACTGAGTCTGGTCCTTGTTCTTGTCTCAGTGGGACAGGAAGTCTTATTTTGTAGGAGCACTAGTGGACTGAGTCTGGTCCTTGTTCTTGTCTCAGTGGGACAGGAAGTCTTATTTTGTAGGAGCACTAGTGGACTGAGTCTGGTCCTTGTTCTTGTCTCAGGGAGGAGAGGGAGCGCTGGATCCGGGCCAAGTACGAGCAGCGTCTGTTCGTGGCGTCGCTGCCCGGCGCCGACCTCCCTCTGGGGCAGCAGCTCCTGAGGGCCACGGCCGAGGAGGACCTGCGCCTGGTGGTCCTGCTGCTGGCTCACGGGTCGAGGCAGCAGGTCAACGAGACCTGCGGGGACGGAGACGGACGCAACGCGCTGCACCTCGCCAGCCGCAAGGGCAATGTGGTCGTCACGCAGCTCCTCATCTGGGTACGGCTTCTTATTTTACTCTTTTATTGTGAAAAAATATGTGCAGGAAGTGTTGAGTTTAGCGTTGTTAGAGTCCCTAAGAAGTCGTGAACAAGTCCAAATTTAGACAAGCTTGAGTCCAGACTGAGTCCAGATCTGGTCTCGTTTTGAGTCCAGATCTGGTCTCGTTTTGAGTCCAGATCGAGTCCTGCCAGATCTGGTCTTGTTTTGAGTGAAGATCGAGTCCAGCCAGATCTGGTCTCGTTTTGAGTCAAGATCGAGTCCAGATCTGATCTTGTTTTGAGTCAAGACTGAGTCCAGATGGTTTTCTTTGAATGCAGACCTGGAACGGCCTGGCAGGCTTTTATTTTGAAACATCTGTGCAGGAAGTGTTGAGTATAACGTCATTAGAATCCCTCAGAAGTCGTGAGCAACATATCAAACTTACCCTTGATCTCTCTCCCCCCCTCAGTACGGCGTGGACCTGATGGCGAGGGACGCCCACGGTAACAGTGCGATGGCATACGCCCGCCAGGCGAGCAGCCAGGAGTGCGTTGACACGTTGGCTCAGTACGGCTGCCCCGACGAGCGCTACCCGCTCATGGCCACGCCCAACCTGCCGCGCCGCAACACCAACCGCAACAACAACGCCGCGCTCATATGAGTCCAATCGGACAAAAACAGACTTGTATTTTGAAGGGGGGGACCACTTCCTGCTGTGAGACTGACTACAAGGGAAAGAACCTCCCAAAAGCATTGTGGGAAATGTGGTTCCACAATCGACTGTGACGAACCTCATCTTTAATTTAACTCGTGAAAAAAACACACTCTGAACCAATCATATCGTCGGTTCTTCGTCATCATCATCGTGGCTCCGCCTCTTTTTTTAATTTCATGAATTCTGTGAACTCTTTAGAAGATATCTGGATGTTTAAGAGGAGGAAAGAAGAAGCAGAGTGATAGATCGCATGTCCTATAGACTCTCTGCTTTCTTTAACTGAAGACGTTTTTCTTGGATTATGTAAATTTATCTCGATGTTCATCGCTGGACCAATCGTTTCGTTTATTTCTGGGTGTATAAAGTCCATCGATGCGGCTCAGGGACAACCCGTCCTCTTTGTTTTCACTTTTTAACTTTAAGTCAAACTCCAGATGACTGAAAACACAACGTCCAAAAATGTCTTTTCTTTGTCGTTCTCAATCTGCAGATTATTCTCCTAAAATATCCAACATGGCCGCCACAGTTCACCAGAACCAGAAGACCAAAAAGCCCCAAAAACAACAAAGATATATATGATATGAATCGATGTAAATATTAAAGGCTGGAGGCAGTTGAGTTGAGACGCCTTCAGGGTTCTGGTTCTGGTTTATTTATTTATTGTAAAGTGAAACGACAGAAAGATTCTGTGAATGATGGATTTATCTGATTCTGAGGGTTAAAAGGAAACAAAAAAGGGAATTATTCTTCTTCTTCAGGTGTTTTTCTGTCAATTCATTTCAGCTGAAACTCATTTTCACTGTGTTTCCTCCAATTACGTCCAATCAGATCGTCTCCCTGATATCGGCTCAGCGAATCACAAAGAAGGGCTTCTTCTTCTCTGGTCTGTAAACTTGTTGTAAATAATCTCTTTCAGCGGCGACACTGTGGAACTTAGAGAACACAGGAAGTACTAAAACAGGAAGTGGTTTTATTCTGACGGGGTTTTGTTTTTGGACTGAATGTGTTTCGGCTCATCGGAGGCCTCAACACCAGTAAACCAGTGGTTCCCAACACAAAGGGCTGTAATCAAGACCACTTCAGTCCAGTCCGAGACCAGGTCTGAGCAGTCAAGACTGAGTCCAGATGTGGACTCGTTTTGAGTCAAGACTGAGTCTAAATTTAAACAAGCTTGAGGTCAAACGTAGTCAAGTTTTGGCCATTGACCAGTGAAACCAGAACATTGCTCATTTAAAGATCCTCTGGTCTAAAGATCCTCTGGTCTAAAGATCCTCTGGTCTAAAAATCCTCTGGTCTGAAGATCCTCTGGTCTGAAGATCCTCTGGTCTGAAGATCCGCTGGTCTGAAGATCCGCTGGTCTGAAGATCCTCTGGTCTAAAGATCCGCTGGTCTAAAGATCCGCTGGTCTGAAGATCCTCTGGTCTAAAAGTCCTCTGGTCT